TTTGTAGCTTTTTGGTAGTTATTAAAGCAAACCTTTCTGCTATTAGTCAACTGAGTGTTGTGTCAATTCTTAAAGCACTAGGTTTAAAATCCCCAGGTTTAAAATCGTTTGTAAGTGCAACAGTTATCACCACAGCAACCCTGAGGTCATTAGCTATTTCACAGATCAAGAACCTGAACCAAAAGAGGGCAAAAGTGAAGTGAAACTTAGACCTATGTAGCAACAAACAGCCCTAACTCTTCCAGAGCCCAAAAATATACAAGCAAACAATGTGCAATTAAAACTCCAATCCCAGCAGATTTCTGCAGAGAACAAATTCCCTAACTGCCCTCCCCCATGCCCCAGAGTTCAGTGTGTGAATGCTTGTGCTAGACCCTTGCTTCCTGACCCAGATGAGACAGCAAACATCCATCATTACTGAAAACTTCCTTGTGTTGCTTGTCAGCCACATGGAGTTTCTTCCCCCAGCTCTCCCCCATATCCCACCTCATACTTTACAATAATAAACTTGGGTAACAGGTTAGCAGTCTGATTTCCTTTCCTATTTAAGTGACATTGTAAAGCTACTGCTTGCTGCTTTATGTTCTAGATTCAGCATTAAGGGCGCTGACGAATATGAGTACCCCCACTCTAACTCATGGCACTTTATATAAAGGTTTTATTTCCTTTTAAAACTGATTAAAACCCTAGCTTTTTTTTTCTTTTAAATGTTTCTTTCTTGGGTATATGATAAAAAATTGATGATCTATAGTTAAAATCAACTCCTTTCAAGAAGCAACTATTCTTCCTAAGTTCCAAAAAAAAACTAGTCATATTGTTGGGCCACAAGCCACAGTGTCCCCAGCCTGGCTAGTGAAGATATTGATGTAAAGTCACACCTGCCTGGTAAGGGATGGATTAGAAAAGTTCCAGAGAACATGAACTGTTGAACCATGAGCTAGTTTTGAGGGCTGAAGCATACCTGGATGGTTCAAAGTTTCAGCAGAAAGCCTGCGAGGTGAATGTTGCAATTCATCTGTATGCATGTGCATAAGGGTGTGATGTCCAAGTGATTGACGGGTGTCTGTCAACTGTGTGTATAAAGGGAGCAGGTCTGAGGGATCCGTGTTCCCTGTGCATGGATAGTGTTCCCTGAGATTTGCCTGTGAGAGTGAGTGAGAGTCCTGGGGGACTAATAACTCATGTCTTGCTGTGCAATTGGTGGGTGCATGCCTGGAGGGCCCAGGGGTGGTCAACAGTCAATGTGGCCTAGTGCATGTGGGTATCCCATATGCACAGTAAGCAGTGGCAGGGAATCGGTGGCTGGATGAGCTGCGTGAGTGCAGAGTGAGGGTCTGGGAGGACCAAGACCTCTATTGTGGTGGCTGGAGGATAAGTCAGGGTTGAGTGGCTGGAGGAGTAGCCAGTCTCCTGTCTGTGTGTGGAAGCTGAACATGGCTGGAGGCCCTGGGAGGCCAAAGGCCAGTGTGCTTCAGTGAATGCCTGAGGTGACAGCAAACTGAAGGGTGACTGAGCCTCAGTGAGTGAATGCAGAGTGGGTGCAAGCCTGAGAGGCTAATATCCCCTTTGTGTGCTCTTTGTATTGAGGCTGAGAGGTGCAGCCACACTATCTGCTAGCTGTGAAAGAGCTTGATATTGCTCTCTGGTGCCCTCTCTGGTTTGTATTATTGTTGCTGTTTACACTGGGATTGTACTGTTGTTGATAAAGGGGATTGTATTGAATTGTTGTTAGTATTGTTGATCTTGCTGTTGTTGTTAATATAGTTGTGATTACTCCTCTACCCAGTGTTGGTATCATTTACTAATTAATGTGCTCATAGCATCAAACTGGGGCCGGGCTGTAGGCCAATAATCTGATGAGAGATAAGCTACCCACCATTTTTTCCCCCCGAGACATACTCTTCAAGGATTAATGCCCCTCATTAGTATGATTAAGAGTTTGCCTCAACAATATACACCTGAATTCCTTTTTGCTACAGTGTCTCCCAAATATTTTAATCATGTAGACAGTGAAGACCAGTAATTCCAAAAAGATCCTTTTGGAAATGCACTGCCATGCACCAATAATAGGTGACCTGATGATTTGTTGCAAGTATATTGGTCTGAAATCTCTGTGGAATAATAAAGCTATCCACTTGTGCAGACAGAAAGCCAGTACAGCCACCCATCAGCCAAATAAAATCATTGACAAAAAATGGTCAGATCATATGAATGTTCCTTACAACACTGCCCAAAAGGCACAAACACTCTGGTTCTGAGAACATCAAGGAAGAAACAAGTCTCAGAGACGCGGGCTTTTAGCTAATTGGACTTGGCTGGCTTTCTTATAGAAGGAAAAATTAGAAATACTACCAAATACAATGGGATGTAAGAGGAGATGCAGGCTCTGAGGCAGCTGTATCCTAAAGCACTTAGGTACAGTATGCTCACAGCAACACAGCGCACATAGGAAGAGAGCAGCAGCATCTGCATAACCTGAATCCTCCAGATGGTTTTCAAAGCAGCTCCAAGCAAAGCCTATTCACCAGTCCAGGCTGGAGGTGCTAAATATACAGATTTATTTATTTTTAATGTTATGTATTCCAGGCCAAATTAGCCCAAACGAATTCCAAATCCAAGAGTCCAGAACCATAAGTGGCCCTACTACTGGCAAACATCCTCCACCCCCATCTGGGGCTTCAGATGTTTCCAAAACCTTTGGTGGGCATCCTACTTACAGGTCCAAGCCCAGAGGCTCGGGGTTCGGATGCCCCCAAGTTTTGTCCTCAGCTGTAAGGCCCCAGGGCCAAGCCAGGAAGGAGTCTCCCATTTCCATAAAGTGGGCTTAAAACCAAGACTGTCCCACTCTAGCAGCTGCGTAGGAGGTTTACTATACATTACCTTGGCAGGTACTATCCCCATGCCAGGAGAGTGGTCTTCCCTGGGAGCAACTAGGAAGACAACCTTCATGGTCACGGTGTTTCCCTTGCCAGGGAAGCATAGCTTATGCTTGATCTGAGCCCACAAGAGGCCAAGAAGTGCTTTACTGGAAGAAGCAGTGCGTTACTTTGACCTGGCTCTGCAGCATCTGTATAGATTGGGCACTTCAGCAGGGCTTTTTGGCAATTTTATCTAATAGCTGATAGCTGTGCAGGAGTGCACAGAGTTTAAAGTAAAGCTCCATTTTTTGTTAATATCTGCAAGTAGCCTAAGTGACAGCAAGTCTATGACATCACAGGCATTGGGATCCCAGACTTACCTCTCATTTTCCTGTGTTGACATGAGATATCTCCCAGACTGAGAACAGATAACCTAAGAACATGCCTGATGAATGGTTGGAGAAGGCAGCTGGAGGGATACTGCTAAACACCATGATTTAACAAACCTTATGCTATTTAATTCCTGCTCTGCTCTGCTCCAAAGGGAACATTTCTCTCTCCTGATTTTGGTCTGCCTACAGGAGGTGTACAATAATATTTCCCCTGACTGTTCGAGGCCCCCACATATAACTCATGAATTCTGATTAATACCATGAAGTTATTAGCTTATTGCTATTATGCAAATTGCTATACCACAAATTCCTTTGTGTTGGTGTGTAACCACCTCTGCAGACAAGGCCTCTGTCATTTCCCAGCATACCAAAAACAATAATGGGTACTTGAATCTCAGTGGCTACTGAAATGGGAACAGCCTGGTACCAGGGGCTAGCTGAGGCCTAGGCAAACCAGTTATGCCACTTTTGTCTGCAAAGGGCTTGGAATTTATAGTTACTAAAGACTGAACAATGGATGTTGAGGGGATGGAGCAGCCTAAGAAACATACAGCCATATCTATCTCAGAGACAAACAGAAAGGATTGGACAGCAGAGGCAAAGCAATGGCTTTTGTGACAGGGAGAGCCCATTTTAGCTGCGAGACCAGACAAGCTCAAAGACAAACCAAGAGCTGACTGCTTGAACAGGGACAGTTGTAATGTTTGTGAATATCTTCTGATTTCACTAGTATTGTTCAAAGAGGTTAAACCAAACCAGAGTGAAGATGAAAAGTATATGGAAACAAAAATTAAATAAAAACACAACCCCAATCTTCCACAGGTCTCAAGAGACCACAAACCTTTGAAAAGCAGCTTTCAGGATAAACACAGGAACACTGTACTGTACTGCATGTACTGCTGCTGAATGATGCGACTGACCTTCAGTTAATTCTCAGTCAGATAACAGGGGTTTATGCTCTGTTGATATTACCACAGCTCAATACAGGATATGGAGCATTTAGCATGGGCATATGGAAAAGTAATTAAAATTAGGCAGAAGTGTTTGAATAACTCTGTCAATTTGTTTTAGTAGTTGGAAGTGCAATATACTCTAAAATACTTTGGACTGGAAACTTCAAACCAATATGTAACCAAAACAACACCCTGTAACATTTAATTATAAAGCCCTGACTGCAGGGCCTAAAAACTGTATGGCTCTAACCTAGTGTATTTTGCCTGAAGCATATTGTTTTTTCAGTAAAAAATAGTAAGTTCCTGGAGAAAAACACACAGTGTCTAACTGTGTCTACTGCTGAGGATTAACAAATAAATAATAAAACCCAGTTACATGAGATTATGAGCAGGCTCACAGAACACTATGACTGATTCTTCTCACACGAGAGGATTTTCTCAGACTTCAGCAGAGAAACATCTGATTTATACTGGTGCAAGAAAAGAATCAGCTCATTACATTTTCATACTTATTCTAGTGCCGTGCAGTCCCTGGTAATTGTTTTAATTGATTTCACCTATTGTTTTGGCATTGTATTACATGGCTACTCAAGATCAGTGGAGGTGCCTACAGCTGCAGATCTTTAGCCTCCCTTGTTTAGTGTTTGGCCTCAAGCAATGGCAGTGGTCAATGCCTAAATGCTTCAAAAGAAAATGAGAAAGCGTTCTGCAGACATGCAATGCTACAATTTTTTAAGTTTGATAGCGCCAAACCTTAATTTTTCAAATATTTCTCTTTACTTCAACAAATGACTTACAGGATCAGAGGGCCCACAGAAGTCTCTGAATATTTTTGGAGGATTGGGCTGAATGATCTCTAGTGCTATACAAGGACCCGAGCACAGTTCTGTGACCATCTCCTGGAAGAGGAAAGCAAATTGGAATTGGTTAGTGTATTGCTGAACGTTCTATTTCACCTGAAAACAAACAAGACCAGGGATGATCAGGAAATATTTCCTCTAGGAAAAACAGCTGCAGGAAATGATGATGGTTACCATCACCATCCTTATTCGATGAAATTGATTCACATTTTGTTGCTTAAGTTCACAACAGAGGGATCAAGTTGGATCCCCTTTTTCTTTAGGATACTGAAGTAGTAGCAGAGGTCAAAATGTTTTTATTCCTTTGTCTTTGGTCTGCTACCATTACTTTTCAACCTGGAATCTGCCATAGCAAGCCGTAACTCTACCTGCTTCACACTGAATATTATATTTAGGGCTAACCCTGAAGATCTTCCAAAATCTTTAGCTGGTACAGAATGCAGTAGGCTACTATCACTGCATCCTGTGTGGAACACATTATGTTGTCTATTTTTGCTTCTGGGTTCTTTCCAAATCAAACTATTGTTTTTAGTTTATAAAGGTGCATCACATGTCTTAGGTCATTGAAGATTCAAGATAATGTTTGTAGCTGTGAAATTAATGGAAGTGGGGCTCACATCAGGGAGTAGAGTGGAAACTGGGAATGCCTTAGAGTACCTATACGCAGGCCCCTTCACATTCTCATTAGAATGCTCCAGCATCACTGCAGCGTCATGTGTATTAAGTCCCCACGTATTTTAAAATGTCCTCAGGGCACTTTATGTAAACCTCATTGAACGATGTTCATATAAAGCATCTCACAGCCATTTTTAAACAGGCAGAGACTTAATACATACTCTTCAGCATTTTAATTAGAGCAGTTGCTCAGTAACCGCTCTAATTAACACCCTCCCCCCCACACCTCCAAGCATGTGTATAGGCAGCCATCCAGACTTCCTTTCTGCATACATGTTACAACAGCAACTGAGACCAGCTTCTTGGCACTGTTTCTTTTCACTATGGGTCCTTGACTCTGGAATATACTGTCAGCTAATTGTGCCTTCTGCCAGCTGGTTTAGTGTGAGCCACAGCCACTTGTCTTTTGAGGTTAAAAACAAAACCTAAAAAAAAAAGGGTCCTTTATTTGGAGTCTTTCTTTAACTCAGAAATATTTGGACCTCCATGCCCACTACTTTCAACAAAGGAAATCAAAATAAATAAATAAATAAGGTTGTCTTTTTCAGTTCAGGCCATGACAATTCACCAAATTGTCTCAGCAGCAACAACCTCCTTAAATCTCTCTCTCAACTAGGGCCCTTAAAGTGTTCCCACCTGGGCTTCATCTGCACCTCATGCTTAACAGTGCTAGCTTCGCCTCCTTGATCATTAGATAATCTCTATACCTTGTCACAAGGTTTTCCTTTATTCTTTTACTGCTGGAATATCAGAACTTTAATATCACTGTGACAAGTTCATCTGTTCTCTAAGGCTCTTTTCTATCAGCCTGGAGGGTGCCAGAATAACAAGGGTGTGTGTGAGTTTTGGGAAGTAAGCTTTAAGTGCAGGCATTCTGTAGTTTCTTAATGAGTTTTACAGGTTCTAAGGCCTGGAACTGGAATAAACAAATGAACTGAAACTGATGAAAAAAAGAGGAAGAGAGGAGACATCAAAATGAAATAAGGTAAGGAAGAGAGGACAAGCTAAGCTATTAATCCTGTTACTCAGATACCAGTTCTTTGTAGGTCAGCCCCAGGGGCAAACTGGTAAACAAGGAAGCAAGAAGGGTAGCAAAAGAACATGGACCGTGTACATCCTGGTATTTGACGATTATAATTAAGACTACAAATGGACAGACAAAGTCAAACACCATTATATAAGGTGACGGTAACATTCCAATGAACTTCCTTGAGATCATGGGTAAAACTTTACCCTTCTGAAAAAAATGAGGGCAGTATTTCACCCCAAAACTGTTATTGTCAGGATGTTCACAGAAACAACAGGTACAGATCACCTGAAAAAATATAATCTGACCTTGTTCCATGCTCTACAAAGAAAGATAAAAAAAAAACAAAAAAACAGAATTCCAAGAAAAGTCTTGTTAGTGCCATCTACTGGCTCTTAATGACAGGTCAAAGGATAGTACACACTCCCATTAATGAGCAATAAATTGCCATAAAGCTGCTACTAATCTGAAGGATTTGCTCAAATCCTTTCACACAAAATAACTGCTAATAGGGAAAAGTGGACAAAATGGGCTTGAACTCATAGACTAGTGTCAACTAAATTCCTCCCAGCAGGCAGATAGTTGGTCTTCTTGATCCTCTACTCTATTCAGTCCACACATACAGTCAGCAATAACATGTGACAAGGAGAGACATTATTCCAAACTACATGGTTATGTTTGGAAGCAGAAGGCTGACAACCAAAGGGTGTTGGTTAAAGTATCCAAGTTTGGTAGTCGTATTACTGCAAGACAAGCTGTAGTAAACATAGTGCCTAATGGCAGATTCTGAAGGATATGAATGAATTTTTAGAGCTTTGCTGGGCTGGGGGAGATTATGGCCAAGCCTTGCAGCTGCCAGGACCCAGGTGGGTCCTGGAACTGGTAGGTGTGCTGACAGGGCACATTGTCCACAGTTGTGGGACTCTGGATACTGACAGCTGCAGGATGTTGCCAGGATGCAGAGTCAGCAGCTGCTGGGGCAGAGAGTCCCTTTAGTTGCAGGACTCCCAACCGTGGTTGGGCATAGTGCACCCCTGCAGTAAGCATCTAGAGCTGTGCAAAGCGTTGGGTGCCAATTCAGTTTGGAGGACATTCAGCCCGATTTGGTGGCCTAATTTCCAAATCCGAATCAAATCAGGGCACCAATTAAAAAGTCCAAATTGATTTGAAGCTCTCCAAATTGATTCAGAAAAGATTTGGAGAGCTTCAATGATTCGGGCAGTTCCTGCCCACTGCAGCAGGAGCTGGAGCCAGACTTGGAGCTGGTAAGTAGCGGCAGCAGGGGAGGGGGGGCTGGAGAAGGGGGGAGGGGACCATGGGTGGACCCCTGCCAGGCCCCATCCACTGCCTGCTTCCCCAGCCCCCCCATAGCTGCCCCACCCAGCCCCAGCCCCTTTAAAAAAAAGTGCCACTCACCGGGTGCTGCATGGGGGGCTCTGCACAAGCCCCCCACCCCAGCTCCCCAATATACCCCAGCTCTGGCCCTTTAAAGGGAAAAAAAAAAACAATCCCCCCTTCCCCTGCCTCACCAGCTCCTGCAGCGACCTCAGGGCTTCTGGGGGCTCATGGAAGAGCCCCCCATATGGTGGGGGGCAGTGGGCATTGCCCCCCAATGAGCAGGATCTGGTGAGTCCAGAGGTTTTGGGTTTTTTTTTTCTCTTAAAGGGCCAGAGTTGGAGTGGGCAGGGCAGCTGGGAGGGGTGGGGGGGGGGGAGAGCAGGGGGGGTCA